TTATTTTTTTTTTTGCCCCCTGGGGGGGGGGGCATGTAGAAACACTCTGGCTTCTTGTTCCCATTGTAATGCGACATTTTGGAGTGTACCTCTATGCTTTATCCTCTGATCGTATTTTGGCCACTAATACTGATACCCAATTCTGTGTGAACAGCAGATTAGGTTATAAAAGAGGATATGGAATGTGAAATGTGACAGATTAGGCGAGACAGGGATTTACATCAGCATCACTTCTCTATACACAATAGAAAGAGAGACCCTCCCTGACCTAACATGCACACAATTATCTATTAAGACCATGAAAGAGGATTCTTCTAATTAGAGAACTTTGTTTATGTTGGGTGATTACATTGCATCAAAGATACAAAAGACTAGAGGAAAAAGCCTATAGACAATTTGCGACAAAGGCTACAAACTTTCCACTATCCTGCTTATCCAAAAGAGCAACTGAAAAAGGTGGAGGAATGCTGCCATATGACCTTAAAAATATAAAGCATAAATCTACTTGAAATTGGCCAAAATAGCTAAAACACCTATCATAACATAATATATTAGAAAGGAAGCCCCAAATAGAAGAACATACCTATATATATCCTGAGTTGGTCAGTTAATAATGAACATAGAGGCTATCACTGCAATCCTGCCAACTTGTTTTTCCAGTGTGGATAGAATGTATTCTCTTATATATTTATACTGTATATACAGTAAAAGGGAACATTCCTTTTGTTTTGGTTAAAAGGGAAGAATCACTGAAAGGAACTAGGGATTTTCCAGTTCCAGTTTTTTTTAGTAATAACAAGCTCTTATCCTCCCTTCACCTGTACTTTTTAAAGCCAAAAATTGAAAATAACATTTGGGTGGGTTGACCTTTTAATGGACTGTGAAAAACTTTTTAGACAAGAGGTAACATATGTAGATGTTTGGAATGAATGCTTCATTCAGCAACCTTAAAAGCAACCAAGATTTTCACACCACCTTTAAAAGTCCTTTACCTAGCACACTGCTTGCTGATAAATCTGTAAACAATAGGTAAGCGTGGCAAACGTAGCAGCTTCTCACATGCATGCACTGCCAGGGGTCCTGTCTATCTCAGCCTCCTGAAGTCACTGAGCTGCTGTCAAGCTAGTGTGACTTTTTTCAATGTCAAAGGCAGGATATTTACACCAATACCTGGGCCATCTAAAATTCCCAACAAAGTCAGAAAACCAATAAAGCAAACAAGCATTGTGATTGGGTTTAATGGCAGGGAACTGTAGGCACTTTACATTTTTCAAGAAATGCTTCTAAATAATGCTTTAACAGTTAAAAAAGGCTGCATACAAATTAAGAGCTGCCCATTGGAGCATTATGTGCATCTCTTTTTCTTGGTAGAATGAAAATATGTGCTGGTATAAAGAAATGGACAATGCCAGCTGTGTTCATTTGAACATCTTCAAAAATCAGAAAACTTTCTATTTTTTGTGCTCAAGTTATCAAACATATAGGTTTGCTTCAGAAAAGCAAAACATGTGTGTTTACTTTAGTTTAGGTTAGCATCACTGGATAGGGTAGTGACTTGTTAAATATGGCTCATAGACCAGATGCGGCCCCTTTTAATGCCTTTGACTAGCTCTTTTGGCACTATTTCTCCCACTGACACCAATTATGGGGCACTAGTCCTTCTACTGACACCAGCGAAGGAGCAGTACTTCTCCTTTAATTTACAACAAGTGCTATGCCAGTTTTAATCTCATTGCTCACCAACCCTACGGAACTTTTTACTCCCACTGACCACCAACCTCATGGCATTTCTTGTTCCTACTGACCACTGAGTTTGGGGCATTATTTACTTTCACTGACACTGGGCCACCTTCTACTCTCATGGTATTAGTCCTTGCCACCCTAAGGTCTGAAGGACAATATACTGGCCCTTTGTTTAGAAAGTTTGGGGACCCCTGGGGTAGCATTTTGTTTTCAGTGCAAAGACAATTGACGGCTTGGAAGAGGTTGCGTTATTAAATAGTATGTGTCTAATGGAGCAGGTTATGCCAGTACAGACAATGCAAATGGGAGGCTCCACTAGTCCTGTTGCAATCTTTATCAATGTCAATCGAAGTGATGGGGGAGGATGGCAAAGCAGCTATTATGCCTAAGGCCCTATTGAGTCGTAATCTATCTTTGCCTCCAGAAGCTTTACTCACTTGGATATAACAGCCATGGCCTTCCACAAAGCTTATGGCACGCAGCTGAAATCTTCTTTGCCACTGGCTATGCCTGCACACTGAGCCATCAAGAACTTGGGGCCATTTTCTGAGACTAAAGATGCTCGGAATATGTCTCTGTACAGATCTATAAAGACTCACGGTGAAGGTGCGGCTTATAGGCACAGCAAGCTACTTCTGTGATTGTATTGTAATTAAAACATAAACAAGCTTTTCTGAATTAAGGACAAAGTTTGGACTCCCAAAACCATGGGTCTCGTAGAGTTTACCACCTCTGCCTCCAGCCTGACCTAAACCTTTCCCCCCAGGATTAGTCAGTCTGTTTAGGTCTGCATTTTGATTTTGGATCATCTTAAAATTAGACAACAATAATCTAATGTCTATGGCTAGCTTTAGAACAGAAAACATGCAGGCCAGTAATAAAGATGAGATGCCTGTTGCCCAATCTGTCTGACTACAGTCAAACTGAGAAACAATTGTTAATGGACACTCTGCAAACTCTGTAGACAACCAAGTGAGGAAAGAAACAATTGCTAACATTCTCCTCAAACCTTGATCAATTCCACATGTGTGTGCCCCATGCATAGACATGCAAGCTTGACTGATATGATCAACCATGCTAATGTCACAATCATTCTACAACATGATACAGGAACTGGATCTTGCAGCCACTATTGTATCTACTTCTATATGCAACCTAACGTGGCATGTTCCACCTGTCTGCAAATATCAGGCTGTCCAATGATGGGAAATCAGGAATTTACCCATAACATACAATTAAAAGGAACTAGAAGGATCCCATCCCCATTTGGAAGATAGATGCAGGACATAGGCAGTGAAAGCTTTTCGTTTTAATTTTTTTCACAGTAAAGTTAACAATCTTCAGTCAGTCATAAAGAGATTTTTCAATGTGTTTGAAAATCTCTTTGTGTACTATCTCTTTCCATGAATACATTTGCTAATGTTTTCTCCTTTGCATAGCCTGACTACCTAAAGCAAAGCTTAAATTGGTCACACTGCTTGTTCAGATGTATCACAAAGTCATGTTTTGGATGACTATTTGTATGGATGATAGTTCTTATAGTCTGTGTCCTCACATACATACCAGACTATTGACCCTTAGAGATATGTATTGTGCAATGTTGTTTTAAGCTTTTAAAATCTACTTCCAGAATACTCTGTGCTTTTGCAGTTCACGTGAACAGTCATTTGTCATCAGCCAGCATACCCATATCCAAAAGAATACAGTTTTAAACTTTTGGAAAGATGTTGGTCAATTTTTAATGCTTTCTATCCCAAGACTTTCAGGTTGGAGAAATGTGTCAAAATAGTTTGTTTCTAACAAATTTTATCTAGTGTTTGTGGGCCCCTTTAAGAGACACCTGCATACAAAACCAGTTTAAATAAACAGTTGCACTAGGTATGAATTACCTTTTCACCAATACTGACAATAATAAGGCTCTGCAGCAGGTTGCCAGGTTCCCTTGTAACCCAACTCCTCTGTACTTTAGGACAATGAGGCCAGGATTATGATTAGTTTTCTGGACAATAGAAAGCTGATCTGAGTGAAACAGGTAAGTATGATCAAGTTGTGAGATTTACCTTCAAAAGAGGTCCAGATAAACAGGTTTATCCAAATTAGATTAAATGGGGTTTATTGTATTGTCGGATTACGGTCTTCCTCAGAATCACAAAGGATTTTGTGACTTTATCCCTGCAGGGAGCAGAAAGTAATTTAGGTGAGATGGTTTTGTAAATGTGTTTACATATAATCAGGGGGGGGGGTTCTCATCCCTCTTCTAATGTCAAGCAAGTCAAGGCCATACAGCCTTTGCGGAGTTAACATAGCCCCTAACACAACACTGAATTATCTGTAGACATCTAACGGATATACATGCATTCATCAAATTCTGGACTCTCTAATGTGTATAAAACAACATTAAGTTAAAGTTTACAAATATTTCCAGCTATAAAAATTAAGAAATATACCTCCATTATTATAGCCATACATGGACTGAGTTTTCACATAATGCAAAATTTGAGTGTCGCTTGTAAGCAACTGAGTATAAGCTCAGTACAATGTGCCTTGCAGTTTGTTCAATGGTTTATCAAAAGCCTTGAGCTTTTTCTTGGCATTTGATAAGCTCCTGGAAAGCATTCAGAATGTATCAGATAAGCGTTTCAAATTCTGGCAAAAAATAGGAAATAATAAGGAAATAGTCAACTGCCTGCCACCTTCTAACCACTCGTTAAAAGCTTCTATTATTTTGACTGAATGCTGTTGAAGTAAACCCAATTAGTTATGGTTGCAATAAAAGCCATGGAACACTCCAGGATATGTCTCAGTGGCCATGCTGCGGTAAGTGGTTAGTAACTATTAGAACATGGTAAAAAAAAAGTATCAGATAAGCATTTCGAACAATGTAGAAATTTCAATGCCTAAAAAGAGGCAATAATATGGATAGAAGAAAAAATTTATGTATAGGACCACATAAAACTGCCTGCTATCTGCTCCCACTATTTTGACAGAGAGCAGACAGAGTAAGCAGACATGGTTGTAAGTAGCTAATGGCCATGCGAACAATCCAGCATATGTCACAGTAGCTACCTAAAAACAATCCACTTTTAACCACTTGCCTATGTACGGTACCATTCTTTTGCAACCTAAATGTGTAAAATCAGCAGTTAACAGGCTGTAGAGGCTTGTGTTCATTGCCTTTGAAAAACATTCATGTCTAACCGGCTTTCAGGAATCATGCCACATTAGTGCTTCAGTCAGAGGTGGCAACCCATCAGCAACAGGATGACAAAAGAGGGCACTCACCTGCACCTTGCTGGTTTGGCCAGCAGGGGAGTGACTTTGTATGAGTAGGTAAGTGTTCTCTTCTAACTTAGCAATCCTGTCGCTTGCACTTCCCACTGCCCGTAGAATCACATATGTGACATGGACCTAACAGCAGGGAGATTATGCTAATTTTTTTAACTTGGTCAATAAGCCTGTATACATATTGCCTATTCATGTGATAGGCAAAAATGTCTGTCTATTTTGGGGTAGCAATAATAACAACAATCAATTAGGGGTGTCAGGTTAGGAGCAAATCAGAAATAGATACTGTTCTGCTTGAAGCCCCAATTCAGGCACAAAACCCATCATACGTTTTTTTGGGGTTCTTGCCTGCTGAAGTGATATATGCTCACCGAAGCCCCCTGATGGCCACCGCTTGGTGCAAAGGGCCACAAATCCAGCACTTCAGATTCACACAAGACCACTGGTCTTCTACCGTCCCCTCGTGCTGAAATCACTAATCTTCTGGAATACTGTTTCTGGACAGCCAAATTCCGACTTCTGCTCATAAAGTCAAATAATGGCCTGCACACACTAATGGCCTATTGTTGTGATACATGACAAGTGAGGTGTGGGAGGCGGGAAGAGGTGATACATGGCAAATGAGGTGTGATAATGTTTAACTGGCCTATAAGTTTGTCCCTTATAATAACTTTCAGCAGATGACAGGTTCACTTTAGCGTGAGGCAAACGCAAGTTTAGTATACTGGTTTCTTCTTCTATTTGCATGTGTAAACACAATGGTAATTCTACAGCAGGCAGACAGGGTGTGGCTACTGGGCGCCTATACGTGCACAGGGTGTTTAAGCTGGCCCTTTCACTGTTGTGGGAGTAAACCCGAAGGCCTCGTCCCACAATCTTTTTGCATTGTATGTTTTTAATGACCAAACTGAATAGCACAATCAGTGATGGTATAGCAGAGGATATATAATGCCAATATTGTATGATGATGATCTTAAAAAAAATCAAAACAGCATGCTCATAATGACATCATTCCACAAGTGTCCCAATCACTCAAAAATCATGTATATCGAGGTGGACGTATTTACATGGAATTTAGGAGCCAGTCTGTCCAATTCATGGGCCAGCAGGAATTTTTAGTAGACAACTCCGTTGACATAAATTAGAAAAAAAGGTAAACAATTTTAGGAGCCTTCGGCGACCTGGCTACAGCCCTGATGTATACAAAGTCTGTACAGAATAATATTAAAAACATATAAAAAATTAAATGGTTTTCAAATAGTCTGCAGGAGAAAAGTTACTGTATTTTGTGACACAGTTCCCAGGCCTTTCTTGATCTCACTTCTTTACTGTTTGCTCTTGTGAAATGTCAGAAAATGCCCTTTAGAAATGATCCTCCCCGAAACTGGGGTAATAAGGCACCCTGGTGAGTTCTTTATTCCATCCACCTCATAGAAACCCAGCAGCTATTCTCTGTTCTGTCCCCTGCTGCCTGTCTCTCTCACTCCCTCTCATTTCTTTCCTTTTCTTCATCAGCTCCCATTCCTGACTCTCCCCTTTCACACTCCTTTTTTCCTGTTATTTTCCTTCCAGCTTTTAAAGTCAAACGGCATCTCCTTTCTCATTTTCTAGCAATCTTCCTGTCCTTTGAGGGTACAAATTGGCTGTTCCTGACTGATCTCGGGATGCCTGCTATACCTTCATATCCCCAGGCTTGGGGTGCTCTCACTATCCGTGCAGATTAACCCTATCACAGGAAGCTGTAAACTGGCCTGGAACATAATGTATAGGTCTGTTTTACATTATTACTTTTCTCTAGGTTACTTTTATTGGGCAAGCAAAACTTCCTAGCGCATACCTATTTATAATCATGACTATTATTTTATTATAAGAAATGAACAATAATTCAAGTGCTTCTCTTATTCTCTCATGTTTGTAGAGAAGAGTGTTAACATTGATTTTACTCTTAGCATTCATCAAGCTGTTGCCGAGTAATCAGCAGTGGGGAAAAAAAGGTTTGCAGCCTTCTGTTTACATTCACTCCGTCTCTAGACACTGGAGTTGATTACTGAAAATAATGCAAGAAGGGTCATGGAAGTGGCAATATGTACAGTCCGGAGCGGCCGCCTTTTCACATTGTAGATGGGCACTAAAAAAAGCCTGTTTATATCACCCCTGGCCCCCTGGGTGAACTTACAGATAGACCACTAGACCTATGGAGGAAGACCCCCACTGCAAGGATATTTTGTTTCTGGTGCGCAGAATGGCGTTTTAATAAAGATACAAGCTTTCAGGATGCCTTAGATCCCTTTTTCAGGCTTTATGCAATAATCACAAAAAGAAAAAAGAAGTGATGACACTGGAAATAGGTGAAACAAACTCATAAAAAAATATAAACATCAACGGATATCAACATGCATAAAAATGCACGAAACTTGCATTAACGCATCAATGCCCGTCAACTTAACTTTGTGTTTCTCATGAGTTTTTATGTACAATATGGTGTGAATGAAACTAACACTTTTTACCTTGTGCTTCATTTACAGAAGTGTTGTACATATTTGTTGTGAATAGGGATTCTCACCTTTCTGTTCATTGTGTATTGCTGGATTGTTCCAATTAACAATATTAAAGAGGAATGTGTTAACTGGATTGCAGAACCCAATTGTTTGGGAAAAGAAAGGTATTACATGGAAACACCTTAATGGATGTAAGTAGAAAATTTGGGGGGACTTGCCTAGAAACATATTTTGTAGTATAAGTATCTTTATATTAGATCTTTGTATTAGTTCCCTCTATACCTCCTAAAAAGCAAACACTTTACCTCTAATAGTAAGAAGTGTTGTTGTTCATTTACATGTTCAACAGCTTCACTAAAGTTAAAGGAGAACTATGGGGTCAGGGCTTTTCCCCAAAGTTCTCCAAAGAGTAGCGGGAGGACACAAACTAGCGTTCTCCCGTCACCCTAGGCTCAGTATACCACGAGCTGTAGCTGAGACGCCGCAGCTGAAACGGATCCCGACAATTATGTCTGGATCCGCTCAGCTGCGTGAGTGACAGCTGTACCCGCCCCCCGCACCCCCATTCCGCCAGTCAGCGCTGGAGGATCGGACAGGGGAGGGGAGAATACAGTCACTCCCCTGTCACAGCTCTCTGACAGGATCGAGAAGTGAGCGAGCGACGGTATGTGTTCGCTCACTTCCCGATCTACTGAGCCGACCTGTGACAGTCTCATTGTCACGGGTCGACTCAGATTATAAGGGTGAGTGAAAAGCACTCACCTCATAATTCTCCTTTAATATTTTTATACCAGCCTTTCAAAGCTGTGTTCATTTCAAGCTGGACTCCGGGCACAAAACCTTTCAAAGATATTCCTCAAAAGGATATAAATCCACTTAGTGTGTATAAAATGATTTTACAAACCCTGTTACCTTTTAAAGTAGCAGTGACATCATCACTGTGCTGTACATAGCATGTGCAGAGAGCAAAGCTGTGGGAGGGACCCAGCAGGCTCCACCCACTACAGGCTGCCTGCAAAAAACTACAGGGGGGGGGGGGGGAGTTCATCTTTCAAATATCCAATCAGGTTAAGTAGAAATATTTTGATGTTTTTAAAATTCTTTAACAGGATTGTGCCTGAAGGAACACAGGCTGACGGGGGTTAATGTCAAATGTAGTCTATGCCCAGCCACCCTTTTGTCCAGAATTGTGTACTACACATAGGTTGGGAACCTTTGGCACAAAGTGATGCCTAGCTGTTTAAAAGCTGCTTTTGTGCTACTACAAATGGAACCCAACTGGAATCCTTCCACTGTTTTGCTTTAACAGTGTTTTTCCAGCACATCATAAACTTTCATGGCAGTGTGTGGAATCAATGAGCCGTTTAAGAACTCCTCTCCCCACCTACATCAGGGCTACACACAATCATTGTCATTAGTGATTGTTTACATTATGTATGAGTAAAAAGATCATTGGCACTCTCAGCACAACACCTGCGATCCAACTGGCCGAAAGCCCTGTGTGTCATCACCTTCACCACTCTGTACAATCCAAGTCGTAGAAATGATTGGCTCACTAGTAGGACGGCAATTAAATGACCCAGTGATATCGGTGCTAAGCTATAACAAGTATGTCGCTCTGTCTTCTCTTAGCTGCTGCACTCAGCTGCATTAGAGTGATACTAAAATCAGGAGTTAAATCTAAAAAATGCATTCAAGTACACTGACTACTAACAATGCTGTACTTTATTTGTGCATCACTCAGCTGTTGATCCTCAAACCATCTCTGAACTGGTGCTGACACTGTCCTTCCTTCTGGAGGGGGGCTATTTGTGTTCCCCATGGTCCCTGTGTGTGTTGTAAAGTAGTCACCGATCCAAGCTCGCTCCTGTGATGGGCTACAATCTCAATACAAATTAGTAAACTAAACATGAGATTGTAGCCCATCACAGGAGCGAGCTTGGATCGGTGACTACTTTACAACACACACAGGGACCATGGGGAACACAAATAGCCCCCCTCCAGAAGGAAGGACTGTGTCAGCACCAATTCAGAGATGATTTGAGGATCTACAGCTGCGTGATACAGATAGATACATAAGATATAACTCCTGAGTTTAGTGTCACTTTAAACAACTCTAGTGCATGTCCATGTTTCCAGAGGTCTACATCCAGCCCTTACATTATCTAGTAACTAATTTATATATATATAAATCCAAAAAAAGTGACCGAAGGCAACCCAGCTTAACTGTACAATCACAAGCACTGAACTTTCCAGCAGTATCAATCACAGGTAAGCAGACATCAAACCACTTTGAATCAGACTCAGAACTTTATACTAAACCCAAGAACTTCCCAAACTAAGTACTTGAAAAAGCCGAATATACAGGACTTTACACCTACTCTATATATTACTAGTAACTACAAACCTACTACTAATAAAAGGACTCGACTATGCTGGATGTGATCTGGACTAGTCTGTCCTCGTGCCCCCATTCATACCTGAGCATTTGTTAATGCGTGACAATGCTCATCAAGAAGAATCCCTTTATTTTCAATGGTGCCTGTTCACAGCTGAGTGTTGTGTCACTTGTCTTATGAGCTGTTTGTGGGCAGAATTGCATGTTTTATCCCATTATCTTCAATAGCAGTGCATTAAAACTGCCAGAAAAACATCCATAACCTGAGCCTCTTGCACAATTTTGTTTCTGAAACCGGGTCTCTTTCTAGTAACTAGCTTTCCATTGGCTTAAACAAGCCAGAGCCTATAAAGTACAAAAAAGCGTCACAATTGCCTGGAAAATGCTCACACTCGGTGGGAATGAGGGCTGAATGCAAACTGAGTCTTTTCACAGGTCAAGGAACAGTAAAAGGCTCAGGGCTCAGTAATAAATAGCATTTAAAACTGCTGCACATGTAAATGTATCTGCACAACAATGTGCTTTATTTTCTGAAAACATCCTAAGAAATAAAAGAATGAAGACAGCCTCAGATTAAATAAAAAGGTAATAGCTGGAATGCAGAGAGGTGATAATGCAGGAGTGACGACCCTTATACCTATCAGGGTTTTTTATGTAATGTATATTGCAGAGTTCAGGCCAGCGAGTGTTTATTTCTAAGTAGTCCTGTACAAGTTAATGGGTGGCTCTCGATGGCTAACAAATGGCTGAAGGATGACAGAAGTTAACCTCAGTGGCCAGAGGTCACACACAGAGCTTGCATATAGCACTACCATGTCACTGGGACGCTGCATCATTGCACCTATAATAAAATGACTCATGGGAGTTGATTCACTAAAGGAGCCGCGGCTGGTCACCTAGCAAAGTGAATGTATACTTTGCAAAGTGAATGTTACTGAATAAGGGGAACCTTTGTTCACTTTGAACTCTCGATAATGTGCAAGTGATTTTTTTATATATATATATAAAAAAGGATTATTTCCAGCACATCATTGGGTATTCAAAGTGAACACAGATTCACTAGCATTAACTTTGAAAAGTGAACATACACTCTCCCCTTCTTTCGTAAATCAATGTATGGGAAGCTATGCTGTAACATCAGCAACTTTCTGAGTGTTAGTAAATAAATAAGCATGCATCTTTCCTATTATATAATCTGCAATACACAGGGAAGGAGTGAAAGAGTTCTTAGGCGCAAACAGGAGCTACACTACATGTACACATCAAAAGGTAAAATAGAATATATATAGATATAGATAAATATATATATATATCTATATCTATATATCTATATCTATATATATTAATTCGTGCTAATGTCCAATGATTGACTGATTACACAGAGACTTCTTCTAGAGACTTTCACATCTCCCCTCCAGAAGTTTTACACTAGTTAGTGAGATTCTCCTTGAAGGGCGCAGACTTTAGCGAGGAGACATGCCGCTGACACCACTCCACTAAGAGCTGCCTATCGGAAAGGAAAACTCATCATAACCCACACATGTTCATGACAGATACACAGCACAAGCACAACCTTACAAACAGAACACAAGAAGTGATAACACACATATACCGTAGGTTGGACTGGATAGCTCTGTGTCTCTTTCCAACCTTAACTACTATGGGAGGAATTTATAAATGCTTAAGTGACAGAATCTGGGGCAGTGGCCGATAGCAACCAATCAGATTCTATCTTGTATTGTAATTGTAACGTCTTCCCTATATTGTAAAGGGCTGCGCAAACTGTTGGCGCGATATAAATCCTGTATAATAAAATGAATAATAATATTCAGTTTAGCTTTGAAAATGAAAGATAGAAGCTGATGAGTTGCCATGGTCAACTGCTCCAGATTCTGTCTGTTCCAGTTTTTATGAATTCCCCCCATTATGTATCTACAAGAAGGGTCTCATTCACACTGGCAATGGCATAAATGTGTTTATATGCATTCATAGGATAATTCTGAACGCATGTAATGATTTTAAATGGTATAATGCACTATGTGCATTTACCTGTGTTTAGGTGCGTTCAGTTTTAGGCAAATTAGATACTTTGCGTCTAAACACAAGAAATATAGAACTTGATCTCATAAAGTTTGTTAATACTTCCCAGATAATTTGTCCTGCATTGAAATAAACCAAACACATGAAGCCAGTGTGAATGGAAGGGTCTCCCAGTGAGTGTCAGCTCTGCAGACCATACAGTGAAAGTTCCAACGAGAACTTCTACATGACAAGTCAGACTGCCACCATAAAATGACAAGCAGGTCATAAGATGAGCCTGGGTGGAGTCACTGTCCCCCTCCCGTGTCACATAGGTGACTTTTAACCCCCTCAGCTTACCCGGCTCCTAAAATGGGGCTCGCACAGACTGGAGCAGTGTTCGGACTCCTCTCTGTCCGCTTTATGAGTTCGCAGCGCTCATCAGCTTCTATATATAAGATGGAAGTGCGGCGTCGCTAGGGGGAGCCCTCCCGTGTGTGTGCCGAGGGAGGGAGGGGAGCGCACGCTGCAGGACACTGCGCTTCGGCTCATGTGTGCGCTATTATACAGTGTGACCACATGGGATCGGGCTGTATAGGATGACAAGTCACCCGGGATCACATATCGTATGGGGAGTGTGGGGTGCCGGTGACAGCAGGCATGACTCCCTGTACTGTGGCATCTACAACTTTTCGAATGTCCCCAGTCCTGGAGTCTTCAGCTCTTTCAACATCTTTGGAGTTTATTAAACAAGAAGTGAAGTGTGCCGTAAAATCGTGTCTACGTGTTGTCAAGACTATGAATAGATTAATTTTGGCCATACAGATATTTATCTGATCCTTCCATTAAAAGATTGTTTCCCTATTCGGATTAAACCTTTCCATTATTTATTTTATTTTTTTTAAAGTTTTGAACAGTTGACCATCTTGTTAAGTGTATGATGACAATGATCAAGAACATTTTCATCACTTTCAGAAGGCCTGTTCACACTATGTGAATTTACCTATGTACTTCCCACACTGGATGAACGCTGGTAAACACAATGATGGTGGCATCAGAAGGGGGGGTGCAGTCCGCACCGGGTGACACCATAAGAGGGGGTGACCGTCAGTCATTTCAGTGTCACCCCCTCTGAAACGTCAGGCACTCGGTCTGGAATGAGAGCCCGACAGCTGCACAAGAGAAGAGGGGACCCGGCGGCATACCCTATCCCCATCTCGCTTTGCTGTCATCTATCACCAAGATGGCTGCCAGCAGTGACGTCATTTCACGCGTGCATAATGACGTCATATGCGTACGTAATGACACACGGACTAGGTGACACCCGGCGGCCGCACTGTGTAACACACGGCCTGTTGACACTTCTGCGCAACGACACATGGAAAACAATAATTTTCTTTTGTTTACGTGAGTTAAAATGCAGCAATCATATGCAGATTGCCGCTTAGAGATGCAGCCGCTGTCACCCAGTCTTTAACTTGAACGGGTGACAACGGTTGCATCTAAATGGGAAAGTTGGGAATCCTGCTGCAGGAATCCCAAATCTTATAGTGTGAAAGATGCTTGAGGGCTGATTCGCACCATCTCCAGACTGGTGCATTTTTTTATCCATCTAGATCTGGTCTGAAGATAATGTGAACAAGCCCTTAATGTAATAAAAGTGCATACAAATATCTATAATTGCAATGCAAAAAGGGGCAAATTTCAGCTTATACATTTGGCCCACAACAGGAAAAGGAATGTCACAGGAAATATACCTTTGAAAATGCGTATACAAAAATGCAGCTAAATGTGCAGAAAAACACACGTTGCTGTATATGAACAAATAAAAAAGCAGGTTAATGCAGAGGCATTTTCACAGCATTTTTTATAAGCCTTAGTGTGAATGGGCCCTCAAACTGATTGCATGGTGTATGCTGCAGTGGATCAGGGATCAAAGCAACCATATTTGGTTTTTTTTTTTAACAGTATTTTATTTAATTTAATTTCTGTAGTTCTGACAATAAAAAGTATAAAAACATAAACTTTGATTGCTTCTAATTTGGTCAGAGCCTAACTTAGGATGGTTTCATGGACTGCCAGAGTATGAGCATGCTGAACTATCAGCAGATGGTCGCTGTAATAGCTGGAATGCTTGTTCACTCAAGAAGGATGAGACTAGATGTAATATTTGGAAAATGACCTAGAATTGTAGCAAGGCCAAAGGGCAGGTAAACAAACCAAAAAAGTGGAACTTTAGAATGGTGAGCAAGACATTCGATGAAGTACAGTTGCACAGGAATGTGAATACACATCTGCCAGGCACAGCATCATATAGCACCTTGCTAGCTTAAAGTGACATTAAACCCTCAGATTTTTTAACATAAAACAATACTGTAATGTGCGCCTTACTGTAATCCATGGTAGTTTCCCTTCTCTTTGCTGCTCTTCCTTTTAAATCTGTATCTCTTCTCATGCTCTGCAGAACTTCTGTTTTGTAGCAGACTGCCTTGTCTCAGGAATGGATACACGGTGTCTGTGTATACGTTTCTATAGGCTTGTAACCTGAGCCAGCACTACAGGAAGAGGCCCTGAGCTGAAAAGGGAAGTTCTCCCCTAGCATGAGAAGACATGAGGATTTAAAAGGAAGAGCAGCAAAGAGAAGGGAAACAACCATTGATTACAGTAAGGCACACATTACAGTATTGGTTTATGTTAAAAAATCTGAGGTTTTAATGTCACTTTAAGGTGATGAATATAGTGATTCCATATGCAATATTTGGATCCTGATCCATATGTTTAAGTGTTCAAACCAAGACTAGTCTTAAGCTTCCTAGTTGTCCCACTATGAAAATTAGAGGAAAAAGGCTTGATATCTTTGGATTGGAAAGATTATGCGACACCATTTGGATATGTGTACTTATAACCTAAGGTTTTGCTTGCACCAAGGAACCTGATGGTAATGAGTGGACTGAAAGATGAGAAGAAAAACCTGACAATGTTCGTCTTGAACTCTTAACAGGACCCATGAGCATATACTCTGAACAGTAAATGCTCAAAGTTTTGTAAGCTCCCACAACCTGAGACCTACTGGGCAGGTTGGTCAGAGGTGTTGGAAATGCAGCAGCATATACTAATGTACTGATGTATTTTGAGCTGTAGATGGCGCTGTAGTGGAATGCTGGTCCCTGTGTGGATGCTTATCTGTAATACACAAGAAGTTCATTTCCTTCACAATGTTATATCCATTCATGTAATTGCCTAAGCAAGTAGAACTTAATTCAGCATTCCTCAAGATCTCAGTGTTTCACCTGAACACATAACCAACAAGATGTACCCTCAAAAGGACTTTTGTTTTTCTTGGGAGGGAGTAATCTTGGTTGTTTCTATGAAGAAAGGAGGATAATGAATTCTTCCATTCCCGTGACATTAGATATTGGTGTGTGTGTGTTGTGAGAATTGTACCAACTCAAAGATATTGCAGTCTCGGATGAGCGATGCAGCATATCCATAGCAGCCTCACTATGAAGTCACTGCTGATGTCAATTCATTCAGAACTACCATGCCCCTGAGACCTTATTGCCAGCCAAAAGGTCAGTCTCCGTTCTTAGGCCAAGTATGGGCTGCCCTGGCCAGTAAGTGCTATTACTGGGTTAGTAATTGACAGTTCATAAAGTACATCACCACTGTGTAAAGGTGCCCATACACCTTATGATTATCGTACGATAATCGTATGCGATCGACTTTTCGTACGACAATCGTAACGTGTGAATAGAGTGCCCGACCGATAGTAATGTACAATCGTACGAATTTTGACGGTCAAGCATGTTTGAAAACTTTGGTCGATCGTACGATGTTCGCATGGTTGATGGCATTTCCGTCCGTCAAAAGTCGTACGATTAACACTGTGGATATGAAAATAATTGCGGTCAATTACTGCAAGTCGTCTAGGTGTTTTTTTTTAACTACCGGTGATTTAACCTTTCGATAATCGGGGCAGGATGGGGCCATCCTATGAAAATCGTACGACGGTTCGATCATCGGATGAAAAGTTTTGTCCGATAATTGTAAGGTGTATGGGCACCTTTAGGCTTCAGACCTCCATCCTTCTCCTCTTTATTCACTGCTGCCCCTGCAGGGTAAACCTGGCACAGCATCCTGCCAGGCGATTGCAGGCAAAGTACTGCTTAAAAGGTTGTACAATCCTTGTGAAGCAATCCACTAGCTGGATGCAGGATGTTGCATGTTTTGCAGCTGTATCACGGCTTGAAGAGGACCTTTCATCCCAAATTAAGCAGCTAACTCTGTCTTTGGGGAGAAGTACTGGTGATGAGAGTTATAATTAGGGTTGCCACCTTTTCTTCAAGCGAAACCCGAACACTCTAGCGACGAGCGGACATTTTTTTTGGGAGAATGAGTCATGGCTTATTCATATGTAACTAGCACCACCCATTCTTATGTAAATATCACAGTTGAGACTGTTTTTAGTGGGGGGCCAGTAGCCCCAATCCTAATTTTGGTTGCCCCTGTCTGCCTGACATCTTGCGCCTGGGTTTCTGCTGCCATGAAACCCGAACACAGCATTCAAAACCCGGACTGTCCGGGTGAATCCTGGACAGGTGGCAACCCTAGTTATAATCCAGAAGTTCATGCATTTGCACTCTGAGAAGCAGTGATGGCAAAGGGCTGGAGAGATTTACAATCCATTAACCCCTGCATATGCACTCTGAGGAACAGTGCTGTCAATAGGGCTGAAAAACGTACAAGTCATTATGCCCATGCATTGCGCGCTCTTTTTTATTTTATCTTCATACATACCTGACCCTCACCTTATAGAATGTAGCTGGTCTCTTGGGGAATGAGGTTAGGTAATTGACACATGATCCAACCTGACAAAACACAGATGAAACTGAAGATAATGATATGATTAACAGCACCTGTCAGAACCTGCTAGACACTAAGGCTCTGTTCACACCTATGCGTTTCGTGACGCGCGTTTTTACCGTGATTTGCGGTTAAAAAAACGCGCAAACAAACGAGCGTTTCCGAGGGCTACTTGGCTGTATCCCAATGGAAACGTGCGACAAAAACGCCACAAAGAAGCTCATGTACCTTTTCAGGGGTAGGCCGTTTTGTAGCGCGTTCAGACGGGCTGAAATACGGCAAGGTGTGAACCATACCCATAGCAAACAATGGGATTTTCATGTTTGAGCATTTTGTAGAGCGTTCGTAGAGCGTTGAACGCGCTACAAAACGTACAGGTGTGAACCAGGCCTAAAGGTGGCCATACACTTTACAACCATCGCAAGACCTTAGTCCTGCGATGGTTGTAAAGTACTTAAAAAAACGTACGATCTGCCCATCGTGATCATCGGAAGCCCGCCCCCCTGACCGATGACCGCAATGCTGAACGGGCAG